CTCCTGTACCTCGTTAGTCTCATTTGGTTTTACGGGGCTGTCCACTCCCAGGCTGAACAGTGAACCTCGGAGGTAACTTCACCACTGAGCTAAAAGGGTTCTTCTTTTCTTCCCCTGAGTACTTAGGCTCTCTATTATCAAGCAGGGTCTGTATTTCTTTTCTTGTGCGTTGTAAATGTGATACCACATCATTAAAGAGCACGATAGATATTTAATACTTATGTACTCAGTAGACATTTAAAATACCCCCTCATCTTGGAAAAGCGTTTACTTATGACAAGTTAGAGCTGCAAAGAGCCTGAAAGTGCATTTGGCCTGATGCCATCATTTGCCAGAAGAGAAAACTGAGGCCCGGTGAAGTGAATGATGTATCGGATGTATCTTCTCTGTCAGAACTGGGGCCACATCCTGGGTTGGTTGCCTGGACCCTGCGCCCCCTCCATGCTCACCCCAACCTGGTGCACCTGACCCGTCAGCCCCACGTGCTCCCAGATGCAGACCACGGTGAGAATCGACATGTGGTATTCTGTTGAGGGCTCTGGTTACCGGGTGACCAGAGAGCTTCAGGCTGTATGACACCCACGCACGGCACATATATAAATATGTTTTGCTTCTCTTTCCATTGCCTTCCCTATATTTAAACTGGAAAGTCTATGGAAAAATTAATAGGCCTTGGGATTGGCAGAAAAACACAAATCACATCTCTACCCCGAGTCTGGGAAGCTGTACAACCACAACACCAAACAAATCCTCAGGCTGGTCCTGTTTTCTCAGGATCTGGTCAAGATTTGGATACATATTGTATTCATTTTCGAGGGGAGAAAAATCTGCAAACCTGAGCAGTTTCAGCAGCCCATCTGTGGTGGAGCAGCCAGGAGCTGACCTGGAACGGGGGACGGGGAACAGAGCTTGGGGCGTGGGTGTTGGCCACACAAAGCAGGGTGCCTTGCCAGCTCCCCATTAAAATCTCACAGACCAACAGAACCGAGTCATCGCTTCCTCTCCGCCCCCAGAAGACAAAGGAAAGGCTGTTTAGTCGCGTGTCCCCTTCAGTGTGTGCAGCAATTCAAGTGAGCTTTGTTGCTGGCTGTTTATCTTGGAAATCTTTAAGGTACACAGTGACCCACACCATGTATGCTTGGAATGCCACAACAATCTTCTGAATTACCCACCCAAGCCAGGCGGGGCCCACTAGAAGGCAGAGTTCACACTCAAAGGCCGGGATGGCTATGTCTGAGTTGCACGGCAGGAGTGTCGCTGAATCTCTGATGACCTGGAAGGTCTATTACTTTGTCCCAGTTGAACTGATGTTTGGTTCCTTCCTCTTGCTTGCCAGCCACATCTATCACGCTTTATGAACTGGGGAGAGGGATTCCACTAGATGTTAAACTTTTTAAAGGAGAGGCATATTTCTAGCCTTTAGAACGAAGAGTAGGTGCCTACTAAATTTTTTAAACTTTGTTGTTGTTGTTAGGTGCTGAGTGGATTCCAACTCATAACAACCCCATGTGACAGAGGAGAACTGCCCCATAGAGTTTCCTAGGTTGTAATCCTTATGGAAGCAGATCGCCAGGTGTTCCTCACTGGAAGCTTCTGGGTGGGTTTGAACTGCCAACCTTTCAGTTAGCAATCGAGGATTTAACCATTGTGCCACCAGGGACTAAGCCATTAGTATGAGGCATTGCTGGTTCAGTGGTAGAATTCTCACCTTCCATGCAGGAGACCTGGGTTCAATTCTCGGACAATGAACCTCAGGCGCAGCCACTATCCATCTGTCAGTGGAGGCTTTCATGTAGATGCGATGCTGAACAGGTTTCAGTGGAGCTTCTGGACTACGACGACTAAGAAAAAAGGCCTGGCGATCTACTTCCGAAAATCAGCCAATGAAAACCCTACGGATCACACCAGTCTGACTTGCAAACAATCACAGGGATGGAGCAGAACCAGACAGCATTTCATTCTGTGGTACATGGGGTCACCATGAGTTAGGGAGACTCAATGGCAGCTAACAACCACAAGGCACTAACAGCAGCGTAAAGCAGGGGCTACAATCAGTGCGTGTGCTGGAAACTGGTGTCCTCTGTACGGGATGAGAGGATCAGGTTACTGGGACAATTTACAAGTAGGTGAGAGGATTTCAAAGACTGTGCCCAGCCCCACTGGCTGTCCCATCACTGTCAGAAGTGGCCGTTTGGCTTCCTTTAGCAGAAATCACCTCCTTCAGCTTTTTCCCTTTCGTTCAGGGACTCTCCATCACCTGTGCTGCTGGGACCATGTAAGTGCTGGACAGACTCAGCTCCAGGAAAAGCAAATGAGAAAGCCTCGCCTAGGGCTCAGCGTCACGGCCATGACGTGATACTAGAGGAGACAGAAGATGACCAGAATGAGGACACGAGGGGCGAAAGGAAATAAAAATGATGGAGGGAGAAAAGGAGAGCAGGAGAGAGTAAGAGACAAAGTAGGTGACCTTCAGATGGTAGGTACATTTACTTTTTAAGTCTTTATCTTTCTGTTGGCTCCATCCCCATCCCACAAATGTACCCCCATCCCACCCAATCAAAAGATCCTGGGGGGGTCCCTGTCCAGTGAAAATGACTCCCTTCTCAAAGCACAGATAGTGTCTTAGAATGCTTCAAAACGCTCCTTAGTCTGCATTGTAAATATTTTTAAAATTCACATTTCAACATTATTTTGTGGAATTTATTTGAATGTCTTGAATAGACAAAAAACGAAGACACAGATTCTGCAAAAAGATTTTTTTTTTGGCAATATAGGTAAGGGAGCTAGAGGTTGTTAATGAAAAGACTTCACAAATAACGTGACCACCTTTACTACTTGTGGTGACATTAATAGGAGGTGACATTATGTTAATAGGACTTGACATGAATTTGTAAACCATTAAAATGAGAGATAATTTTGCTGGATAAGTATATCATCAATGTGTGAGATTTTCTAATGCATTGTATTAACATCTTTCAATTCGAAATACACCAGAGTGAACTTATAGTGGGATTTTACCCACTATAATATAGAGGAGGGATGGCTGCCCAGAGAAAATTCATTAAATTGTGAAGTGTAGAGGGTTTTGCCCCTGGGAATTTCATTGTTGTCTGAACACATTAAAATAAGACCCATGCTTGGACTGCTGCTTATTGTATTTTCATTCTATGGGTTACATACCAGAAGGGGTGGAATATTACCATCTGGCTTTTGAGTTCTTGGCTATAAGATCGACTAAGTTCTCTAGATTTTTGAAGCAATAAAACCAGCCATTTTTCTTTCTTTTTTTTTTTTGATTCTGTTTCCCTAATCCAGTGCCCTAGGCCCTCTACTTCCTCTTTCATTGGCCTTGCCTCAGGAGAAGAGCAAGGCTGTTCATCAGCCCACTGCAGGCTCAGGTCAATGTTATTACAACAACTTGACCCCCAAAGGATTTGTCCATTGGATTTCGCTGGGCATCTAGTTGGATGGTTTCTGTCAAATTCCAGGATGGCCCCCTCTCACCAGCCTCTTCTCACCATCTTCGATTAGAAGAGGTTCGGAGAAGGCAGAAAAAACTCAATAGGATGGAATATGAAAACATAACAATAATTTTGTGGAACATTCCAAAGACCTAATCTATAAAGTAACCATCATCAAAAAAGACAGAGAATAACACATTCATTTGGGGATTAAATAATACAGAAAGTTGAACACAGTTGATAAAGTGGGCATTGTATCCCCTAAAAAAAAAAAAAAAAAACAAAACCCCAAAAAACTCAAAACCGTTGCTGTTGAGTCGATCCTGACTCATGATGACCCAATGTGTTACAGAGTAGAACTGCTCCATAGGGCTTTCTTGGCCGTAATCTTTACAGGAGCAGATTGCCAGGCCTTTCTTCTGCAGCACTGCTGGGTGGGTTCGAACTACCAAATAGCAAACCATTTGCACCACCCATCCTAGACGCCTTTAAAAAAAATATTTCACAGTCTGTCTTGTTTAGGCCTGAGAAGATGGTAAGATAACTTGGCCGAACAAAATGAACATAAGTTTTGGTGTCTGAAATAACGGTGGGCTTGAATTCTACCCCAGCCATGTAAACCTGAGGAAGTTTCTCTATGTCTCAGTTTCCTCATCTAATAGATTTGAGCTTAACACCCATCCCATAGGTTCGTCATGAGCATTCCCTGCAATAACGTGTGTTAAGCATCTAGTAGACACTGGTAACCAGTAGATGCCTGTAATCATTAGTTTCCACCCATTTGGGGAGATAATAGAATGGAAGAGGTGAGTCTTTTTATAAGAGAAGAACTTGGAGAGAATTATACCAACTTTACCAAAACCAAAACCAAACCAGTTGTTCCCAATTATAGCTACAAGGAAAAGAGGCACAAAACGTGAACACTTAGAACAGCTGATGAAAGAAGTCTAAAACAGAACAACACGCCGCCAGGCCTTTCTCAGAAAAAGTGGCTTCTGATGCCCAGGGATAAAGAGACTGAAGGAAGCAGAAACTCACATCAAGAATCTCCTTGTTGGCTTTTGGAGATGTGGCTTCTCTTAATTCCTTGATAGCCACAGGAATTTTAACTTTTTCTCCTTCTGGGATCCAGAGTCCCTGTGAGAAAGAGAAGGGAAAACATTAGATGGCAATCTTCAGACCATGCAGCAGGCTGGCTGCCTTGTGAGCTGGACGGATTTGATGAGTGACACAATCCTAAAGGATGAGGGATGTTGCAGCCGCAGGTCTGCACACCAACGCCAGTGGTCCCGGGAATCTTGACATCTCCGCAGCCGTACTGCTTCCAAGCTCTGTGAATCAGAGCAATCACTTAGACAAAAACCCTAAGCCTGTGCAGTTATAAATTAATGTAAATCAATTCTAAGATGCTAGATTAGGCCTCACTGATCAAATCAGACTTTATGCAAAGAGAAACTAGGGGGAAAAAAAAATGAAGATAAAACTTTTTCGCCCTGGGCTTTATTCTGATGATCCATAACCAGTGATAGGGAACCTCCTGTCCTTCAGTATGTTACTCTCACCAGCCTGTGCCACGTATCCCCCTAAAAGGTAAACGTCATCTTCTACAAAAACGTGTACTGTTTGTGTATGCGTCCCACAAGACCGTGTATTTATCACTGTGATTATAAAAGCCTTCCTCTCAAGCACTTGAGAAACTTTGAAATCTTCCAAGCCCTCCATGACACCAAGAGCAGACAATGGTGATAAATAAACAGCACACCTGGGACTTGTTTGGGCTCACCCACACGTAAGGTGAGGGATGTGGTGGGCCTGTATTCCTGAAGCCTTCTGCTGGGGTGTCCCCCAGTGACCTTACCTTATACACAGTGCCAAATGCTCCAGAGCCAAGCACTTTGATCTTCTTAAATTCTGTTTCCTTTAAGATCCTCAGGAGAGCTTGATTGGGAGCTTCTCCACTGGGCGTCACTGGTTCAACAAGCTGCGGAGGGGAAGGAGACCTGTGATGCTCTCTCAGATATGGCAGGGTAGGTGGGTGTCAGATAAGCTCAGAACATTAACAGACAGAGACCAAGAGTAGGTGGCCATGCCTTAGGACAAAGGACTTCCCATCCTCATTCAAGAGGGAAAATGGACACCTTCTCTAAAGAACTTTTAGAAAGGCTTATGGGACACAGGAGAAACATGGACCCTGAATACAAGCATTTTCTCACAGAACACCCACATTTCAACAAATGCAATTTCTATTTCCGTTTCCATGCCAATAGCAGGACTGAAAAATTCTGGTGAAAGGAAATTTTTATATGGTGGTCACTTTGGTGACTGGCTGGGCCCTGTAACACAACAGCACCATTATGCTTATGAGCAGCTGTGGGTCTCTCCTCCCAGGGACTATGGCTTCAAATGCAGTGCTGGAAACAGAGATGTTGGCTAAAGACCTCTTCAAGTGAATCACAGTGCCAAGGATAACACCAATCACAAATAGCTAAAAAAGGAACAGCTATTTGTGTGGACAATGGCAATTTCCAAGGAAGTAATATCTTCTATTATTTCAAGCACAGTGCCTTCACAGGAACACAACAAACACAGATTCTCAGCCTTTCTTCTATGGATATGTGTACAGATAGGTACCATACTTTAAACAGGCTTGCCTCTACATAGCTTTGTAACCATTTTGTGTAATCTACCCTAGGAACATTTGCATTTTATTGAAGAGGCATATCAAAATGTAACCAATCACTCATAATTGGACCACAGAGAGATTCTTTCTTATTTTCCATCACAGTGAACAATAATGCATAATAATATAATTGCATTTTGAAAATACAAACGTTCACATTAACGATAGCTCTTTGTTGCTATGCTGGAGTAGTAAGGGTTCCCAAGGGTGGTGGCTGGCCCAGGCAGGCCACCCAGGCCTTGGGGACACTCACCTCTCTTTCCTGCAGCAGTCTGCGCAGCGTGCGCTTCCGGACAATGTGGCGCCTTCGCATGAAGAGGCCAATCCCAAGGGCCATCACCACCAACAAGAGGAGGCTGCCCACAATTCCAGTGGCGATGGAGGGGATCTTGGGCCTGGAATGAGTGGAGAGACAAGGGAGGGTGAGGTATGTCAACTGCTTTCATTACACTGCCTTTTTAACTATTTCCTGCATGTTTTGACAGTGACATCATTTAAAATTGTCTCAGAAAGTGGGACACTGTGCAGCTTCTAAAGGGAGAAGAGGAAGATTAAGGGGTCTAGGTGAGTGTGTCTAGCTTTCTCGAATAGGCGAGGCACCCTTGCCCCCTGCTTTTCGCATTTTTAACATTGAGGTATCATCTAGACCTCTCTACATGGTGGTAATCATTTTTAAAAATCTCTTGATTAAGGAAATACATAATTCAAAAAGGAACTTGCCTTTAACAACGCTTTTATATAAATTTGTATTTTGTCCATCCCAAGATCATGTCCGTATGGAACAGCACTCCACATAAAGGAGACATGTAAGGTCTGCAGGCCAAGTTGGGAGAAGTGACCCTTACAATAATGTTGAGACTCCTCTCGGGGTGCTTAGCCTTCAAGTTGGGACCCACAGCCACGTGAAATGCTTTACGAATGAGCTTGGAAGTGGTTACGAAGTGATAGGACTTAGACATAACCAGCATCATTGTCACAGGTGAGTGATGTCATCATATAGCCAGCCCTCAAACCACTCTAATGCACTCTTCCTCCCACGGAGGTCATGTCTAATTTCAGGAAGAGCAAAAACTCAAAACTCAGGTTCTCAAATGCGCCAGGGAAAGGGCCATCTGAATCAGGAATATTTACAAAGCTACTATTCTCAAGTATCTATCACATTTGAGCTGCTGGCAAACCAATTAGTATTTTCAGGTCAAAATGCTAATGAATATCAAAGATTCATTAGCAGCATCATTTGCACATACAAAATGTGCCAACGTCCTTACAAATTTCTCTTAAGTGGGCCAAATGTACTTCATTAAGATGACAGTTTACAACGCTTTCTTCTTAGGGAGTGCAAAAGTCATCTCGTGAATTATACCAAATTCCTAATTAACGCAGTTTGAATTAATGAGCTTTACTATTTTGAAGGGAACATCGGACGATATTAAGGAATAAGAGTATGTGTTTCACTGAGAGCTGTGGTAAAGGTGAGGATAGGGAAGTGAGTAAACGAGTAGGGAAGGCAAAGAAACATGGGAAAAAGTAAGAATAATGAAGAATGGATATTGCCTGGTTTCAAGGCGCTAAGATACTGATTGTACTATGAAGATAAGAAAATTTTGCTGGGTGTCCTTGAAGAGGTAGGGATGAAAGGAGGTATTCATCTCTGAGAAATTGCCTTATTCCTCTTAACTGATCTGACTGAGGGCAGGAGCGATCAGTTATCGTGGTCAATTGTGGAGCAGAAGAGCATGCTGAAGCCGGCAAAGGGGTATTGAGGAAAGGGATTTGGTAGGCAGAGATGCCTGGAAGTCTGGCTAGTCTTTGAGGATGTCAGGAATGGCAAATGGATGTCTGGTGTGTCATTCCCTGATGCATCGCTGGACATTGTTAACTGATGATATTGCTTTTTCCTGATGAATCTGAACAGGAATTGACAGTTCTGCTTTTCTCAATGCAGCCCTTCAAGCAGTGATTGCCAACTGATTAGAATGGAAATGCTGAAGGAAGTCCAGGTGCCTTTGCTGGGCTATGTCTTTGAAGAAGGAAGTAAGGAGAAGGAATTTCCCCAACCTGGAGCTTGTCATTGAACACAGTCCATTTGAACACAGGTTCGGGACAAGGCCAACTGGGCTAGTGGGATTAAAAGAAGAGAAGCTAGAAGAAGAGAAGGATCCAGCAAAACTGTTGTAACCAAAGATGTCAGAGACAGTCTGTGTACGAAGAGAAGTGGCTGGGCATTGAGTACTAGCTCCTGTGAGGTAGGCCCCAGTAGCTCACAACCTACATTCCTGCCACAGACGCACACCCAACAAAGTCGGCATGTAGGAGGAATCAAAGCAGGAGGAAGAACTTGACAAGGCCGAAGGACAAGCATTTCTAGTCATTTCTGTCAGCATCCGTTAGACACAAAGATATAACACTTACCCATTCGTTGCGCAGCCTTCAAGACCCGGCCCAGCACAGCTGTAGGAATTGAAAGAAAAATCCACATTTTGGTCATTCTACTTTCTCTGCATTTTTTCTTGGAGGTGTTTAAAATTAAATCATAAAGCAATACGTGAAATTACTCACAAGTCATTAAGGTCACAATGTATCTCAACGCTGAGGTGGTGATTATTTATTTATTATGCATTTATTCATCTGTTCATATGTTCAGCAAATATTTTTGTATGTTTATTCTGTGCAATAAACAAAGTAGACAGCTCCTGACCTTTATTACTGAAATGTTGGAATAGATGACTTTTGACACAGGTATAGCTGCCTCACAGCTGTCTCCACAATGTCAGTATGAATAGGGGAGTAGAGGGAGCCCAGACTAGAAACAGTTACTGGGGTCATATTGATTAAGGAGCAGGGTGGCAGTGGGGAGTCACTTTAAAGTCACAAAGCCTGGACTTTAAAGAATCATCTGGCAGTGAGGGAATGGAGGAGAGGCTGGTCAGGAGAACACGCATTAGGTTACTAGACAGGATGAGAGAGAAGGAACAAGCCCTCATAAATTTAGGTGTGGCCAATGCAAGTAGCAGAAAGGAAACGGATATGAGACACAATGTGAACTTAGCAGCCCACTTGGAGGGGTGTCAGAAAGGAAAGGGAGGTGGAACAGAGGAGTTGGTGTGATGATGATTACAGACACAGACAACCGGGAGCAGGAGCTGGCCTCATCGACCTCCCCTAAACTGAACTGTCCTACGTGGAGATGTGACAACATTTGGTCAGCTTAAATGTTACCCCTACAGAAGCTGTGTTCCCATTCTAGTGGAACTGACGACCAACTATTATTTTGGTTATAGAACGATGGTTAAAAAGGTAGAATAAATTGGTTTTGAAGCAGAGTAACATTCGTCAATACAAACATCAATAGGAAAACATCGAAATATTCCAATTAAATGGAAAGGACTCACATTTCATGGCCTGGTGGTAGATGAACAACTACATTTCAAATATAAGAAGGGGGTTAGGAGGACTCTTGTTTGACACTGTCATCTGGCCCTAAACATTTTCTCTCTCCATTCCCCAGGTCTCATTAAAAGGGCTCTCATCTCTATACTCTACTCATTTTGGTTTTGAGGGTCTCAGCTCTCCCTCTTTCCCATGCTGTCAGATAAAGCAGTCTCATCCTGCGATGTGTTTGGGCTTCATTCATACACCACACACACACAGAGACACACGTTGCTTCAAGCAGTGGAATATCCAGGGCATCCTACACATAAGGTCGCCATGAGTCAGAGTCTACGTGACAATCAACAACAACAACAACAAGTATTGCCTAGGAAAAACAAAGTAGTTAAAGATAAAAAAAAAATATTCACTAATGAACTGACTGGGGCCCTGGTGGCGCAGTAGTTGAGAGCTTGGCTGCTAACCAAAAGGCCAGCAGTTCGAATCCATGAGCTGCTCCTTGGAAACCCTACGGGGCAGTTCTACTCTGTCCAATAGGGTCACTATGAGTCGGAATTGACTCGACGGCAATGGGTAACGAACTGACCACTGATAAAACAATACTCTACTCAAAATATCCTTCCACGCTAGCATTTTGGTGTGGAAGTCTCCCCATGACTGTTGAACATAATACAATACGAATACAGTGCAAAGTGATTGCAAACTGATATTGCAAATTTTGGACAAGATGCAGGATTTTATGCAGTGAAAGTGTTGTTGGAAAATTGCAGAGATTGCTAGCAAGAAGCTACTAACAAATAAGAATCTCAGAGGGAAAGACAGCCCAACTTACATTTGAGGAGATGACTGATAAGGATCAGGACATGACAAGTGTTGCAAGAGAGACTGGTTTGAGTATCAAAGGACTAAGAGTCCTGGGGAACACTGACGAGGCCCTTGCAGGAGTTTCCAGAAGCACTGGGACAACAAGTTGAATAGGAAGCAGAAGAGGCCATATTGTGCTGTCATCCATAATGTCAGAAAAATTATTCTCTCCTCACTCAATTTAATCTTTTTATAAATAATTTATGCATAATGACAATTATAAAACAAACAAACTGTTGCCATTGAGTCTTTTCTGACTCATAGTGACCCTATAGGACAGAACAGAACTACCCCGTAAGTTTCAAAGCAGCAGCTGGTGGATTCGAACTGCCAATCTTTTGGTTAGCAGCGAGCTCTTAACTACTGCACCAATTATAGTAGTAATTAAATTTTGTTACTTATAATAAAAATAGGCAAATATTATTATTATTTGTTTAATATATCAGAATAAAAATCTCAAAGAAGTTCTCTCACCATTTACTATGAAAATGTGGTCCCTTTTCCAAATGGGTTTGCTTCAAGTGGCCTTTGCATTGTAGATAATAAGACCTCCCACAGTTGGAAGGGCATGGCTTTTGGAATCAGGCAGGTTCCTGTGTTACAATCTGAGCGCTTACACTACTGGTTCATGAGGTCTGATGATTACTGAACCTCTCCAAATACATATTTAACTATAAAAATGGGGCAATGTATACATCCCCTCTGAGAAATCACTGAGACAATGTATTTTATAACGGTGTACACATCACAAATACCAAAATCCAAAACCAAACCCATTCCTGTCAAGTCGATTCCCACTCATAGTGACCCTAGAGGACAGAGTAGAACTGCCCCATAGGGTTTCCAAGGAGTGACTGGTGGGTTTGAACTGCTGACCTTTAGGTTAACAGCTGAGCTCATAACCACTGTGCCACCAGGGCTCCTCACACATAATAAATGCACAGTAAAAAATGTTTTCTTATTTTTCTTACCATCCTCAACATTTTTCCACATTTAAAAAATAAATAGATTTCTATCATGTAATTCTTATGTAATTAATGCCTTTGGGGGAAGATACAGATAGTAATAACAAACATATAAAATTATATGTTCTTCCCTCAATAAAAAAAGACCACAATCAGGAAGGTAATGAACTATATGGAAGACAAAACATTCATGAAACTCTCTATGGCAAATGACATAGCATCAGGATTTTATTTGAAAAAAAGGGAGAGACAGAATCATATAAGGTAATGCAATTTTAGTGGGACACCACAGTGGGCAATACAATTAATTGTATTGAGACACTGAAGCCAGGCAATGAAGATTTATTACCTGGAATGTAATAGAACATTAGAACAAATGGCCATTAACATCTTTTATTTAATCTTGATTAAGTCCCTCTTTCTGTATTTGGCAAATTGTTTCTCATACAGAAGTAAATTTATTGAAAAATCTCAACTTTCAACAACATTCTAGATGCCCTCTGTGCCCAAGGACATCCATTCCAGACACATACACACATACATTTATTTGCAAAACACAGAAAAATGGGAAAAGATACAACACATTTTAGAATCTGCTCCAAATTGCATAAGTTCAAAAAAAAAAAAGGGAAACTATGAGCAGCAATCTAAGATACAACTACTGGTCTTTATTAATCTAGAACAAAAAGAAAGAAGGAAACCCAAGAATCAGAGGAGGAACTGAACTATAGGACTACTGTCTATATAAATTACTGCCTCCTCCACCTTGAGACCAGCAGAACTAGATGCTGCCCAGCTACCACTACTGAACATTCTGATCAAGAACACGATAGATAAATTCTGATAAAAAGGGAGAAAAATGTGGAAGAGAACTTCAAATTCTTTTTTTTTTCTTTTATTGTACTTCAGGTGAAGGTTTACAGAACAAATAGTTTTTCATGAAACAGTAGTACACATATTGTTTTATGACATTGGTTAACAACCCCACGACATGTCAACCCTCTCCCTTCTCGACCTTTTTCTTTTCTTTTTTTTAGTGAAAACAGACATAGCCAAAGATACACCATTTCAAAAATTTCTACATGCACAGTTCAGTGACATCGACTACGCTCTTCCAGTTGAGCTGCTATTCTCACTTTAGATGAAGGTTTACAGAACAAGATAGTTTCTCATTAAACAGTTAGTACACATGTTGCCCTATGACAATGGTTAACAACCCCACTACACGTCAACACTGTCCTTACTCAACCTTGGGTTCCCTATCACCAGCTTTCCTCTCCCCTTCTGCCTTCTAGTCCTTGTCCCTGGACTGCTGTGCCTCCTTAGTCCTGTTTTAGAACTTCAAATTCTTAAAGAATCCAGACTTACTGGACCTATTGTGGCTGGAGAAGTCCCTCAGACTATGGCCCTGAGTTGCTATTCAAACCTTGAATTGAAACTATCCCCTGAAGTCATCTTTAAATTAAGTAACAGTTTAGCTCAAAGATTAAAGTTTGTCACCCTTGATTAATGCATTAAAAGAAAAATCTATATAAGATCAAAGGGTCAACAATTATTTTAAAGCATAGATGAGAAGGTTGGGGGACAGGGAGATTAAGTAAATTAAGGAGAAACAACTAGAACAGAAGTAATGAGAGAATGTTGACACAATGTGAAGAATGTAACCAATGCCACTGATCATTATGTCCAGAAACTGTGGAATGGGAATGGGTTTTGTTGTGTATATTTTCACCAAAAATAAAATTAAATAAAAAATAGGTTAAGTGAAAAACCAGCAAAGCATAGTTTATACCAAGGAGCGTTTGCAAACTGGTCAATATAACCAGTATGCTGATATACTCAAATTGGGGGGTGGGGGTGGAGAAACATCTTAAATTTGTACCAAAGAGGCCTTTGGTGAAATTCAAAATCCATTTTTCATTTTAAAAAATAGTTAGAAATGAGGAATATATGATTATTTTCTTAACAGGATAATAAGAATCTCAAACTAACAGCAAATGTTGCTCTTAATGGTGAGTCACAATAGCTATTCCCATCACCATCAGATAAAAAGCTCTGAGGGCCACTATCACTGTGTCTGATGTTATTCTGGAAATTCTGACCCTTGAAGTTAAGATCTGAAACTTTGGGAAAAGAGAAGATGAAAATATTATTATTGGAGATAATACGATTGTCTTCCTGAAAAATTCACGATCATGAACTAAAACACTATTTAATTTCAAAGGAAGTTCAATAAAGTCTATCAAGACAAGATAAATACACCTCCCCCACCTCTCCCCAAAAAGAACTCTTTTATATATCAACAATAATAAGTTAGAAGATATACTGGAAAACAAGATCCGATTCACAATAGCAAAAATAACTACAAAATACTTAGGGCATGAAAGAAGAAAATGACAAAACTTTACTGAGATTTAAATAAGATGACCTAGATTATAGAGAAATATATTATCTCCTGAATGGGAATGTGGACTATTTTCAAGATGGAAACCTTTCTCAAATTAATTTATTGGTTTTAGTTTTTTTTTTGTTTTGTTTATTTTCGTGGGAAACTTAGAGAATATTGCCAGATCACTGGGAAAAAAACAAAAACAAAGAGTTAGATTAAGATTAGAGGAAATGCCCAGACTTAATAAATTGTTGGCCAGGTATTTACTTTGCAGTTACCTAGGGTTGAAACCTCTAGAACACAGAATCATCAAATGATGGAGCCCTTCTATTTACCCCCCCAGTGGCTGAGGCCCAGGAAGGGGAAATGACAGAAGTAAGTCAGAATACCAGTCAGTCCAAAGTCCAACAGCTACCGCTCTAGCCCAAGGGCTATACTTCATTCTGGTCTTAAATCAAATTAGATATTGTTTGGGAGTTGATACATTTTAATAAAAAGTTTGATGATGAGATTCGTTCTTTAACATAGCCCCAGTGATGGTGTTTTGTTTAGGTTACTAGGCTAACTTGTATCAGATCTATCATTACTTCTATTTTGGTACACTCAGGACATGCTTGAAAATTTTTAGAGCTCATGATTTTGGGGAATCTAATTAGAAGGTTCTGCATTGCTCAAGAACATTAATCAACATCATCATCAGTCATAATCACCATCATCACTACCACCACTATGTCACCACCACCACCTCCTTCACCACCACTACCACCACCACCATCACCTCCACCAAGATCATCCCTATGCCATTATCATCACCTCCTCCATCACCACTGCCATCACCAACACTACCACCACCA